CTTCCAAATGGCTTCTGAAATTTGCTCTGTTTGGAGACTTCAGCTTAGAAATTATATTATTATGGTTTCGGATATACATGTACTTTTGTTTAGAGATTTTGGCATGTTATATACTAGGAACTTTGGGTTCTTAATCGGCCCTCTCATCTAACCTTTTTTGTACCACTACATTCTAATTATATATATATATATATATATATATATAATATTTGATAGAACACAACATGCAATATTTTTCCAATTCTAAATTTTGAAATTCTAATGGCTAGTGCACAACTTTTTTTATGAATTTCGCTCCTTAAAAGAGTGCGAAAGCAGCACTATTTTTCTCTGAGTTAGAAATTTCAACCTTGACTGACAAATTCAAATTTGGTCTCATTGGGAAATTTCAGTGGGGACACTCAGCTATGTAAGTAATCAAAAAAGTTTTGATGACCTCAAATTAGTATGAAAGTGAAAAGTGTGGCTCGTGGATTAGAGATAGGTTTTTATTCACTCGTATTTTCTCCAAAAAATATCTTAACATTGCTGGTAAACCAATAAAGCTATTCAAGCGGTCTTCTGGTTTTGAACCCAATCATGAACCTCCTACTGTACCGGTATGAATTAGTCTACCTGGTCTCAAGCTACATTTTTTTCATCATCAGGTTCTCTACTCAATTGGTGCCATATTTGGGGACCCTACGAAGCTAGATCTCCCACTTTCAACCTTACCAAACATTTTGAGGCCAGAATACTTGTGGAAAGAGATATTACTTTGTCTGATGTTACTGAAGTCTGGTGGAAAGAGATATTACTTTGTCTCAAGCTGCATTTTTTTCATCATCGGAAGGGCCTCGTAGCTCCACTTCTTCAGGAAGTAACTGATGTAGAGGCAACTCATACTTCACATATACTAGAACCTATTGTGGGCACTACGGTTGGTATTCCTTCTGCTTTAGCTCTACCACCCCATCAGACTGATTCTTTGGATGAGGAATGTCAGGCCTGTTCCAGAAGGGACAAGAAGAATGGAGACCAACACCAACTTGGGAACATATTGGATGATACATTGGTTACTGCTGGCAATGGCAATCATATTACCAACTTATTAGATTGCTCCTTGGGTCGCCCCCGAGGGTTTCGACAGCAGCAATGGGCTCTGCTAGGGTTTCGCTTGATGGCAATTCCCGGAGATGATTCCTTGATTTCTTTCTTTCTCTCCGACGTCTTCTGCGACGACGTTTTCGCGCCCACGTAGCTTTCTCGACGATGCTCGCTCACAGACGTCCTCTTGTAGACGTCGCTCACTCGCATCGTCTCTCCTTACCTGCAGTCGACGACGCTCGCTCGCAGCTCCTCGTTAGTCGTCGCGTCTTGCGTCGTCTCTCTCGTACTCGACGACGCCTCCTCCGCCCTGACCGACAAACAGTTTCCCCGAAGTCTGCTCGATTTTTTCTAGCGGCTCCCCCCCTCACCCTCGGGATGGGCTCAACAATCCGTTCATATGCCACTACACATGCCGGCGACTTTCTTATACCTATTCGTGCTCCTCTATCAAATTCTGAGTCTAGTTTCCGTATTGGCAAGTTCTCAATGTTCCACAATCTTTCCACGAGGCTCTTGAAGGTGGTGATAATCACACTTTCAATAAAAAGCTTTGTAAAAAAACTGGGAAACCAGCTTTTATTCTCACTGAGCTTGAAAACAGTACTCCCACATCTTCTTGGAGTTTTGCTCTAGTGGAGAAATTTCTTTATGGTCACCCAAAACTCGAAAAGATTTTGATGATATGAAGCTATTGAGCAGTTCGAATATTGGCCTACTTGACGGTCGACATTAACTTATTCAGATATATCACGATGTTAATTACACTCGTATTTTTACTCAAAAAGTTATCAAGATCAACAACCGTTTTATGAAAATTCTGATGTGGACTGTCGATTTTAATCCAAAAGCGGAGTCCCCTATCGTTTCTGTTTGGATAAATTATCCGGGATTAAAATTATATACGTTCAACTTGGAAATTCTCTACTCCTTAGCAATTGCTCACGGTAAGTCTCTCAAGGTTGATACTCCTACGCTTGTTGTGTTAGTTGAGAAAGATATCACTCAACAAGTCCTGGATGAGGTATGGATTTGCACCACTCATAACGGGTATTGACAAAAGATTGAAATAGAATCACATCCTCCTATTCTATGGTTCCATGGCGATTTCGGAGGCTAAAAATCACTGCTTTCATTCAATAGTCGACGTTGGTTCGCGTCGACGACAATTGCTAGCAGGCTCGCACGGCGTAGTCGAACGCAGGCTCGCAAGGTGTCGTCTTCCTTACGCTCTGACGTTTTGCTTGCAGGCCCGCACGACGGTTTCGGCTCAGTCTGTACGCTGATTCGTATTCCTCCTCGTTCCATCTCGATAGAAGCGTCTTCGGCTTGGTCGTTCCAACACTGCTCACCGTCACATTCTTGCGGTGCTTCTGTCGATTGGTGGACCACAGAGATTTCCTACGCCACCGCCCTCGACCTCGCCGGTGATAACCCCGCCAAACACTTCTATGCTACAGTCACAAATGCAGCTCCCCTTTCCACCAAGCAGATAGTCCGATATTCACGCAGATGTACTATGATTCTATTGCAGGACATGAAGATTACAATCTCATCAAGAAAGTAGAGAAAAATGCGAGTAAACCAGTAATATTCTTCTCTGATGCCGAAATTTCAACTCGTGCGGGAAAATACAAATTTACACTAGTTGGAAAGTTCCAATTAGGTTGTCCAAAAATGAAAATTATCAGGAAGGTTTTTAAAGACTTCAAACTGGTCGGGGCCTGGCAGGTGGGTCATTTCAACAGAAGACATGTTATGATACAGCTGAGTATAAAAGAAGATTACACAAAAATTTTCTCGAAGAAATTCATCAAAAAGAAAGGGCAAACATATAAAATTGCTCAAATTGACCTCTAATTTTGATCCCAGTCAATAACCCCCAATTGCGCCTATCTGGTTCTCATTACCAGAACTCAATCTTTATTTCTTTGACCTACCTTTCTTATATGCAATTGGGACTATCCTTGGAAAAACTTTACATGTAGACTTACCCACAGTTTACTTCTAAAGACCCTCTACTGCAAGAATTTTAATTGAAAGAGATATTACACTACCAGATGTAGAAGAAGTCTGGTTTGGTTCTGCTCATAAATGTTATTGACAAAAAAAACATTATGGAACAAAAACCTTACTACTAGAAGCACTGCAAGATGTTTGGAAACCCGCAGGAGAAATGTTTCAGATTGCACTCACAGTTGAGAACCAATATTCAAAAGCAAGAACATGTTGTTAGTGCACCTCACGTGCCTGAACGCGCTCCCAAAAAACCTGATGACAGCCAACCTGAGGAGGGAATCACCACAAGACAGTTGGTGTCTGCCCTTGGAAATCCTTCTCCCGATAATACTCCAACTGATAATGTTTAGATCGAAAATCAGGATACCCCGCAGCTTTGATTTAGGAAGCATCAGGTGCAGAGGTGACAATTCACACTTCACATACACTGGAACCTATCGCTATAGCAACGACTGTCTTTCCTTCTACTGCGGTTCTAATATTTAATCAGACCGAGGATCATATGAGTCATTCTTTACTGCGCTTCTAATATTTAATCAGACTGAGGATCATATGAGCCAGTCTTCTGATAAAGAATGGCAAGTTTACACTTCTCGACGGAAGAAAAAGGCTGGGGGCACACTCCAACTTGGAAACTTAATGGATGATACTTTGGTCACTCCGGGCAATGACACGACACTTCAAATTTTGTTATCTGGCTTCGCTCCTAAAACTAGAGGAAGAGGCGGAACTAAACTAGTTCGTCTCTAGCTACTTGTTTTCTGCAAATTTTAATTTTTTGAGTCTATCTGTATCTTTTAGTTGGGATATTACTGTGCTTGGTATCATATGGGTAGGGTGCTTCTATTTGGCCCTCTCATACAATCTTTTGTATTCCTTTATATATCTTCACTATTTCAATAAAATCAGCCCTTGGGCTTTGAATATATATATATATAAATATATATATATACATATATATATATATATAATAAATCCAAAAAATTTAATAATTATTACGATTTAAATACAATACTTTATATATACAGTGCATTTTTAATCTTAGAATTACTATACTTTAGAATGTATTTAGCGATTGAGTTGTTTGACAAAAATAACAATTGTCTGTGATAAATATTTTTCATGAAAATCCTTTTTAAATTAAATATGTAAAAGAAAGATACTCATTTAACGCTAAGTAAAATCAACCAAAGATTAGTACTATAATGATTTTTAATTCTAGAATTACCAGATTTTAGAATGTATTTAACGATTGAGTTGTTTGACGAAAATAACAATTGTCAGTGATAAATATTTTTCATGAAAATCCCTTTTAAATTAAATACAAAAAAGAAAGATAATCATTTAAAGCTGAGTAAAATCAACCAAAGATTAGTACCATAATAATTTTTAGTATCAAATGTATTCCGACAAGTGTATTTTGGAAGAAAAATTTATAAATAAAATTTATGGTTTGATTACCTTTTCGAATTTGTGAGATTTATCTTCTTAAATTTGTTGAATGTTATATAAAGAGAATATTTTAGTCCAACTGTTAATTCCCACTTTGGTATTCCAAACTTCCAAGCCACATTAACGGATTCACCAGTTCGGACTAAAGCGGCACACCTCCAAAAATGAAATGGATAAAGCAAGCATGCATTGACCGTTACATTAGCATGTACAAGTACATATTAAGCATAATAAAAATACAGCATGTCCACCAAAGAGCAAATGCTCAGGACAGACCAGGTACAGCAAGGAACTAAAGCAAAACATCAACCCAAACTAAAAATTCTTATGGACAAGGATATAAATTAATAATAGAAATATGTTGAGGAGAATAAAGGCAATTTAAGCCAAATTAAACATTGGGAAAAAAATGCAAAGAAATTTTCACAAGTAGAATTGCGAACCTGAAACATCATAAACAGAAATATCCAAAGTCTGTGAAAACTGTGGTAAAGATGGAGAAAAGTACGATGCTCCACAAAAGAGGTCTTTCCCTGATGTTTACCACCAGTGGGAAAGAGAAGCGCCTGCATTAAGGACAATAGAACAGCACAAATATTACAAATATTTCCAAATTATGACGCGCAGCTTTTAAAGTGAAAGATGATAACAGTAATAGAAAAGAAAACTGGCTATTTGAGCAGCGCCTACCATTGGTCAAAATCTGTTATTTCATCGCCCATGACATGTCAAGAAACAATACACTCACTATATCATTTCCACAGCCCCCACCAAAATTTCTTTTCAAACTTTGCAACCAAACCTTTTCACTCATCCATTGTTCCATTATGACATGCCTGAACAGAAAAATGAACTCCCTAGGCTGTTTTGATTGCCAGAGCACTGTAAACACAGTTGCAAAATAGACAGAGTTTACCTTGAAAACTACTACCAATTGACGGGGAAATTGTCAATGGCTAAGTTGAATCTAAGAAAACATAAGCCAGTGGGTGAGGTCCACAACTAGAATATTAAGCACTTGGTACTTGCCCATTTCAAACGTGGGGCGATTGCCCTGTCATGTCTATCTCAACAAAATCCTAGTCGTACCTAGAAAAAAACAAAAATAAAAAAAAGATAGTAAGAAGATGAGGAAGGCAAAAAGGAAAGGGCAAAGAAAATAATAACATAAATAATGGAGGGAAAGGAATTGCAATCGGGGCATAGAAAGATTTCAAGATTAGTTTCAAGGGAAAAAAAAGGGAGACTAATGAGGATGAGGGTAAAAGATGGGCGCTTAGCCTAGTAATCAGGGCCACCCATAGGCCCTTGTGGCCAATAGTAATGAGCATGGAGATGAGAAAAGCTAGTTGGCGAATAAGAAATAATAGAGGAAAGAAAAAAAAAAGATAATAAATGCTGAGTAATGGGGCAACCATGACACTGGTGCAAAAAAAAAAAAAAAATTGTGCATGTCTCAATGCACTCTGATGTAACTCCGCCTAGCAGACCCATATCCACACTTTTATCATGTGGCGCAATATTTAAACACCTTCACACACACACTTTTTCCTCAATTGGCAACTCCCTCACTCTGAACATTTCCGTCAACACTACCATTTTCCTTCATGTGATTGCACTTACAGTTGTCACACTGACTGAAACAAAATTGTGCATCCAATTTATCAAAAATACAAAATTCAAGTCCGCAATGGACGATCTGCATGTCTAAATGCACTCTGATGTAACTCTGCCTAGCATACCCATATCCACACTTTTATCATGTGGCGCAATAGTTAAACACCTTCACACACACACTTTTTCCTCAATTGGCAACTCCCTCACTCTGAACATTTCCGTCAACACTACCATTTTCCTTCATGTGATTGCACTTACAGTTGTCACACTGACTGATTCCCAACGCAATTTTCCTTCGCCCATTCCACTTTTCTTTCAACCCTCATCAAAACTCTCATCTCACATGCTTTCAATAGGTCATCATGTGTGATACCTGTGATATTTGCCCTAGCCTGCCACCTCCCTCCCAAAGTCTCTCACTCCAGCATCAAGACTTTCCCAAGAAATATCACCACCCATGTTCCCTGACGCTTCACTACTAAACCATACTATTTATCAATATTTGCTCTTTCCCTCTGCCATATGCCCTAGCTTTGGCAACCAAACACTCATTGCTCGACTTCAATGACCATAGATAAATATATTAAAAGATTCCACAATGCCCTCTTTCTAGCTAAATCCCACGTGCGCATACAAGTAAATGACTAAAGTCCCCTAATTCTGTTACAGTTACATAAAATACAAAGTGTCAACGATCTTTGGTCAAAATGAAGAGAATCCCTTTAATATTGATCTTTACTCAACTATGAGTCGTCTCCTTACATTAATCTTTGGCCTGGACATAAAAAAAAATAGTTTCTTAATCACCAACGACCAAACTCAATAAAAAACTCAATAAGAACTTATAAATCGTTATGAAATAAATCTCTTTGTAATTGCTGAGTAATTCTATGTTCATCAATACATTAAATTTCTCTAGCCGCTCAAAGGAGGTCAATCAGATGAAATTGTCATACAATCAAAATTTGAAAATAAAAGCAGGAAAACATAGAAAAGAACATAAACAAATAAGTAAATAACAGTAACTACTTATACCTATGGAAATCTAAGAAGATCTTTGAGGATTTTATTGGGACAACTTATGAAACTCTTCATTAGTTTATTCTCATCCTATTCTATGCTATTTTATTTTTTATTTTTAAATTACTTCCTTTCCAAATTTCTGCAGCATATTTGGTAAGTTGGTAAATCAAGGGAATTAATCCTCTCCAAAACCAATTTTCTACATGGTATCAGAAATTCTGCAATCCCAACTCTTCCCGGTAACCCCCCCTCGCCCCTGTATGTCACTGGAAAAGCTTCCCCACTGCGTAAACACCTTGTAGCGGGCCCTCCCCCGGTCAGAACTTCTCCTAGGAGCAGGCAACAGAGAGTAAGGACTCCTCGCAAGCACTGGCAATAGAAAGCAGCCCAGAGTTCACTTTCACTCTCTAGCAGAAATAATTTCCCCTCTCCGGCGGATCAAGTTCCTTCTCCAACACTAGGTCACTTTCTCTCTCTAGTTCTTTTGGATATCATTGCCCCTAGATGAGAATTTATATTCCCAGCGGCGGTAGAAGCAAGCAGGCAGCAACACCAGCGGCAACAAGCATCTCTCTCCACTGCAGTCAACTAGAAACAGCCCTAGAAACTCATAAAGTTGACGACCAAATTAGGGATGAAGACTTCTAATACTCCTCTATAAATTAACTTTGAATCAGAGACCAAGGTTTATGTCCAGACAAATCCTAAACTCTTTAACTTTAAGGATGAAGACTTCTAATACTACTCTATAAATTAACTTTTTATGTCCAGACAAATCCTAAACTCTTTAACTTTACTCAAATCATAAACGCAATGGTAAGACCTACCAACAATGGTCTCAATTCATGTTTACGTACATTTGTGGTATAGGAAAATAGGAACATCTTACAAGAGAAGGCATAATTCTTTAGATCACTAACCTCAACCACCGCATATAGAAGAATTGAGATAATATGGTTAAATTTTGGCTCGTTAACCCAATGACCACTATAGTGGGAGAAAATTTTTTACTCTCCAAAACTGCCACAAAAAATATGGGAGACTACAAGAGAAACATAATCCAGCACTAAAAAAGTTATAGAGTTGTTTGAGATCAAAACATGCTTCATGACCTTCGTCAAGAAAAGCTTTGCGTCACCCAATACTGTAACACCTTGAAAAATACTAGTTACAATTGGATATATTTGAGACATATGTGTAAAAATGCCCACATGATGTTATAAAGTTTAAAACCATTATCTAGAAGAACAGCACCATCAAATTCCTAGTAGGGATAACTCAAAAATTAGATGAGGTGAGAGGGAGGAGCATGACAACAAAGCCACTTCCATCTGTTCGTGAAGCCTTTGCTGAAGTTGGGAGAGAAAAGAGCAGAAAGAAGTTAATGCTTAATGGAAATGAGGATTCGCCAAGTACTGAAAGTTTGGCCTTATACACTCGTAATTCCTCGCATGACTTCAAGCACAAGAATAATCATCCCACATGAGATTATTGCAAGAAGATTGGGCATACAAAGGACCAATGTTGAAAAATTCATGGAAAGCCTGCAGATTGGAAATTTGCATAGAGAAGAAAGATCAAGAGAAAAAGGCTAACGCGACTACCACATCTGGCTGAACCATTCTTCAAAGAGCAAATTTGAGTACAAAAGAAACTTCTTAGAGGTAATTCAGAGTAGCACACCAACCTCATAACATATCAAGGTAATATATTCTTCTTCAATCTTGAAAGTAATGGGTGAATTAGAACATGGATCATAGTTTAACAAGTCTCTGATCATTTGATCGAAGATATCAACGCTCTAGTCAACCATCAAAATGCCTCTATATCTAGATCAGTAAGACTTACTGACGAATCACACTCAAACATTGTTGGAAATGAGATACGGGGCTCTCTCAGGATATCAATTTTTCCTCTGTTTTATATGTTCCACAATTGGACTGCAATTTAAATGCAAACGTAAACTTACTCATAACATGAATTGTATAACTAAATTATTTGCAAACTCTTTTAAAATTTAGGTAGAGTCAGGAAGGTGATTGGTAGTGTTGAAATGCATCAAAATTTATATATGTGCAAAGAAAATCTCTTTTTAAACACAAAAATGATCTCAAATCCATATTTACCTTATATTTTTTAGTCTATTGAGTCCATGTTTGCCGAAATTAGGTCTTAGTATAGCTGAGATTTGGAATAGACTAACAAAAATATTATAGATAAGAGGAGAGATATTTAAACTCAATCACAATATGCATAATAAAGGAAAGAGATATGAACAGAATAAAACAACTAGGAAGGAAAATAAAACAAAATAATGCAAAATAAAAACATAATCAGGGATTAAGAGCAAATAATAAGTAGTAAAGGCTAGGAATAGTCGTTAGTACTTATACTCCCCTCAAGTTGAAGCATAGATGGCAATCATCTTCAACTTGGACTTGAAGTCATCAAATAAAAGGTGAGACAGATTCTTGGTGATAATGTCCGCTAATAGACCGTCGGAATCCACATATGGAATGCAAATCTCCCCGGACTCGGCCTTTTTCTGAATGATGTGTTTGTCAACCTCTACATGTTTGGTACGATCATGCTGGACTAGATTGTGAGCAATGTTGATTGCGGCTTTATTATCACGGCATAGTTGCAGCGGAATAAAGGTTGGCATACGCAGTTTGCGGAGCATGATGCATAGCTGGAGAGCCTCACAAATTCCTAAGGGAACGGATCAGAATTTAGCTTCAGCACTACTTCGAGCAACCACAGACTGTTTCTTGTTTTTCCATATGACAAAATTACAAATGGGAAATAACATGAGGTGGAACTTCAATCATGAACTGATTCGGCCCAATCAACATCTATATAAACCGCAATAGACCGAGAAGTGTAACAGGAGAAAAACAAATATGAGCCCGGTCTATGTTTTAAG